GTATAATGACGTTGAGACATCGAAATGCCTCGAGAATTCCGGGCGAGCTCCAAACCAAGAAAATACTTGAGCGGACCAAGATCCTTAAGCTTGAAATGCTAATGTAGAAGTGATTTCAACTCATTAATAAGTGAAGAAGAAGCTCCGGTAAGAATTATGTCATCTACATAAACCAATAAAGCAGTGAAAGTGGAGCCAGAACCACGTAAAAACAGTGAGCAATCAGACTTGGATGGTGAAAAACCAGGTGATATTAAAGCCTCTGAAAATTTAGCAAACCATTGACGAGAAGCTTGCTTAAGACCGTAGATAGACTTTCAAAGGCGACAAACAAGACGCTCCCCCTTTCGAGTAACAGGTATATAGAGGGCTTGTAACCCAATGGCATATCCATATAGACTTCCTCAAAAAGTTCTCCATGAAGAAAGGCGTTATTCACATCTAATTGAATAAAAGGCCAATGGGAAGAGACGGCAAGAGTGAGAAGCACCTTGATAGTAACCAATTTGGCAACGAGTGAATAAGTCTCAAGAAAATCAAGCCCCTCTTGCTGAATATAGTCCTTGGCAACTAAACGGGTCTTATACCGCTTAATACTACCATCAGACTTGTGTTTGACTTTGTAAATCCAGCGATAACCCACTGTGTGATGGCCATCAGGGAGAGATACAACATCCCAGGTATGATTGGTTTCCATAACTTCAAGTTCGGCTGTCATAGCTTCCCTTCAACGAGAATGACAAACAACCTGGTGATAAAATCGTGGTTCATCAACAGATAAAATACCAACAGCTAGAGAATAATGTGAGGTAAACAAACAAGAATAAGAAACATAATGATGAAGAGGGTGCCGAGTAAAACAGGATGATGAATTGTCACCCTTGAGGAGAGCACAGTGGTAATCTTTTAAGTAAGATGGTGTCTTAGCGGTGCGAGAAGAATGACGGAGAGGAACAGCTGGTTCTGTATTAGACGAAGCAATAACATTATATGATGGATCTACTGATGTACCAACAACATGTGAATCGGGGACGGATGCAACAACACTAGAAGGTATTATCGGAAGGACCAATATCAAGAATGATAGAATCAGAGGTGCCATCAGTAGCATCACCAGAAAAATTCATAGTACCAGTAGTATCGAAAGTGCGAGACATAAGAACAGCAATAGATATAAAATCAGTAGCCATGGGGAGAACCAATTGTGGAAATGGATCAACATGTAGAAAGAGCTACATCATGAAAAGGAAAACAGGTTTCATGGAAAATAACATCCCTGGACACAAAAAACTCCTGCTTTTGAATATTATAGAGACGATAACCTTTCATACCAGCAGGATACCCAACAAAAACAGTATCTGTAGCCCGAGGATCAAATTTGGTTCAATGAGCGTATAGAGTAGATGCATAGTATAAGGAATCAAACATTCGGAGAGATGAATAATCAGGTGCAACACCATATAGAGACTCAAAATGAGTATGCCACTTAAGTGTAGGAGAATGAGTTCTATTGAGCTATTAACACACATTCACCCCAAAATGTGATAGGAACTCTAGACTGAAAATAGAGGGCACCAGCTACATTAAGGATGTGTTGATGCTTTCTTTCAACAATGGAGTTCTGTTCAGGACGACCAACACATGAAAACTGATGAACAACATCTTTGGTCTTAAAGAAATCTGTAAAAAGGAGCTCAGGGGCATTGTCAGATCGAAAAACTTTGATACAAGAGTTAAACTGAGTCTCAACATAAGCCAAAAAAAATGAGGAACAATAGTGGCAACATCAAATTTATGTCAAAGCATAAAAATCTATGTAAAACGATTGTGATCATCAACAATAGTCAGAAAATGGCGATAACCATTAGAAGTAGCATGTGCATTAGGTCCCTGGATATCAGCATGGACCAAATCAAAAGAAACAGCAGACATATTATTGTGCGAATCAAAAGAAAGATGCTTCTGTTTAGCTAAAGGACAAACAGAACAAATATGATCCTTATAGCTAACATCCTCAAAAGATAAAACAGTACGTAGAACACTAATGCGTTTAAAGGATGAGTGGCCAAAACAATTATGACAAATGTCAAAAGAAGGCTTATGTACATTAAAGGTAGAATGACAATTGATACCAACTAAAGATGCAGTAGTTGTGTCCCCAGCTGACGAAGCATGGAAATACAGCCCATTGAGTAAACTACCATTGTCAATCATCTTCGAAGTGTACATGTCCTGAATAACACAAGAACCATTAGAAAAGATGATATTTAAATGGCACAAATCTCTTGTTAGGACACTGATGGATAACAAATTGTAACTAAACTGAGGTATATAGAAAACATTATGTAGGGTGATGTCCTCTATGATGGAAACTGAACCACTGTATTCAACCAACAATCGCAATTGATTTGGTAAACTCACAAATACTGGAAAAATCCTCAACATATCAGAAAACATAGATTTGGAACAACATATATTAGCTTATGCGCCAGAGTCTAAAATCTAGCACGAAAAGGTAGGTAATGTACTATGAAGAGTACCTGTCAAATAAGATGTGGAAGCCTCATCAGTAGAGGCTTTCGAAGACCTAGAGGTGGCCAATTGAGATTGCAGTAATTGAATCAATTCGTGGCATTGGCTGGAAACATCATAACTTGAATGAGCATCATTCACTGACGAATTATCAGTTGCCTTCGAGTGAGAGGCCGAAGGCGTAGTGGTATAAACAGAGGGCGAACGCGAGCCTTGAAACTTATACCTTAGAGGATAACCATGTCGTTTATAATAAAGTTCAATGGTGTGTCCCTGAAAGCCACAATGAGTGTAAAACGGACGTTCCTTCTGAGTCTTGGAAGAATAAGTAGACTTATTTAAAGATTTGCCAGAAAGTGAGGCTTGAGGAAAAGCCATGGCAAAAGTCGAAGTCGCGAGATTTTAAGTTGCAAGATTAACTCCAAGTGAGGAATTTACACCAATAGAACGTTGTTGCTCTTCCTGGTTGACGAGAGAAAACGCCGAAGTAATCTACGGAGGAGGATCCATTAAAAGAATTTGAGCATGAGTTTAGGTGTATGACTCATTTAAGCCCATCAAGAAATTCATCAGGTACTCATATAGCAGAAAATGAGCTGCCAATTCGGCACCACCACAAGTGCAAGAACAAGAGGACGGAATTGATGCAATTCATCCGAGGTGGATTTGAGTTTGGTGAAATAAGTACTCACCGAATGTTGCTCCTGTGAAATAGTAGCCAATTGCCGCTTCAATTGAAAAATCTGAGGGCCATTGCTTTTCTTGAATCGCTCCTTCAAGTCGATCCAGATATCGCGCAGATTCGGAGAAAAGTATACTAGCCGAAATCTCCTTTGAAAATAAATTAAGTATCAAAGCAATGACAACATGATTGTTGCGAATCTAGGCCTACAAAATATCTCCAGATGGTTGAGCAATAGTGCCATCTATAAACCCTAACTTGTTTTTGACTGAAAGGGCAATTACCATCGATCGACTCCAGGATGTATAATTGTCTTCAGTAAAAAGTTGAGTAACTAAGACCAAACCAGTATTGTCTGTATGGTGGAGACAATAAAGATTGAGAATCGAGTCAATGTTTACCGGTGAAAAATTCGAAGCAAGAGGTGGAAGAACAGATGAAATCGAATTATCAACCGGAGATTCATCAACTGGAGAAAGAAGACGGAATAACATGCGGCATGTGGAAGAGAAACTATTTCAAAAATTTCACGTGGAAAATAGAAATTTTCTCTGATACCATAATATGACTGAATGAGAATAATTGACTGTTCTCATTGAAAAAGAATGATACAACTTGATCCATTATATATCGAAGTAAAACAATAGAAAATACTAACTAACGGCCGTGGTATATAACAAAATAGTGAATGTCATAACTAAGTATATAACAAATTAACTGATAGTGAATATCCTAACTACGTATATAACAAAGTAAGGGATAGTTAATATCCTAATACATTACTCAATTAATAAGAAAGTTGTATACTTCATCACATAGATATATCTAAACTAATGTGTTAATCCGAGTATAATTCAATAATATATATATATTTATGGATTGAATCTCCACTCTTACCTATTGTTGACTAAAAAAATTTTGTTGAATACATTTTAATAATTATTAAAATATTACACGATCATTATTGAATCCTATTGCATAATTTTGAGTGCAACATAAGTTGAAATAGATAAATAATTGCTATTATTGCAGCTATAACATTACATCTAGCTATTTTATTGTAGTTTATGTTTATATTTATGCTGCATTTTGAATAATTGATAATATTATCGAACCCCACAATGATTTTAGAAAATAATTACAATTTAATTTATAATTTTAAGTAACATTGATGGAAAATCTCAAATTGGCCCCAAAGTCAAAGGTTTAATAAACACATTAAATTGTTTTTTTACCCTCAAACTTCAATGCAAAAAAGTATTGGCAATATAATATATAACCTACGAAGTGTTTTTAGTATAACAAATTGAGGTGGGATTTGAACCACCCACGAATGAGTAAAATGTCAATTATCGTTGAACTATAATCATGTTGGCATAACCTATTTGAAGTTATTTAGCAAAGAGTAACAAAAATTTAATTGACGAAACATAAATCGATAAGTATTAATGTGTTCTTTGGAATTAGATTAAGTAGTCCATTACTTTTTCAAGAATGTGTTTGGGCGCATATGGGATTTTAAGTGTCAACGTTGATGAAAATATCAAGATCTCAATTTTATGAAAATATCATATGAATGAATATTAATTTCTGCCTAATTTTTTTAAAAAAAACAAAAAAAACTTGATGGAGAATTTTCATGACATTGAGGGTATAAGATGGAGGACTTAAAAAGGAATATTTAATATATTTAACCCTAATATTTTCTTTAGCATAATCTAATAAATAATTAATAAAAAAAAGGTGGAACAAGACTCAAAAACTAGAAACAATTATCTGTATAAACTTTTATATAATTGACATATTCCATTAGCTAAACATTATATTTCATTTGAAATACTCCCAATAACATTGGGGGTATTTGGAAACTTCCACACGGCTTTGGCCCAAACAAAATACAGACTTTTCACACATGAAGAAGAAAGAGGAAGATTATTATTAATCCTCAATTCATTTTCCTTTTAAAATTTTTAATTACGATTAAGATATAATAATAATAGTAATAATAATAACAATAATAATATATTATTTAATTAAGCATTTGAGTTGCTCCAAATTTCTTCGAGCTCTCTGGCGAAAGCCGTCCGTCTTCCGAGGACAATGGTGATGTGGTCTTTATTTTCCACCACATTCACACGCGCCCTCGGCACACGCGCCTTCACGTTGTAGCTGCACTCGACCGGAATCACGTCGTCGTCGCCGCCGTGGAATATGTTCACGCGGCACTTTACGCCGTCGCGGATGGCGTCCAAGTACCTCTCGATCTTCCCGCCGGTGCCGCATATGACGTTGTGCAGTGTGTGCCACGCGGCGTTGTGAGTGTGGGAGAAGAACCCCTCTACCAAAAACGCCTCTATCCTGAAAAAAAAAACACAAAATAATTAATTATTTAAAAAGTTCATTGTTATTTAACTTATTTTAGCTTTGGATTAAAATAGGATAAATTATAAAAATTTATTACTAAACTGTGATTATGTCTTTTTAATTCTAAATTAAAAAAAAATACTTTCCACTCAAAATCGTAACATAAAAATATCTTTGGAAAAGTCAAAAGTACTCTAAAATATTTTGTGAGAAAAAATGCTTGTAAATTGCATTTTTGCCCATGTCATGTGCTTGACAAATTATTCAAATACACCTTCTTCAAAATACAAAATACAAAATAATTGAGATACACCATAAGGGGACAAGTTAATACTTAAAAAAAAATAGAGAAAGATACACTCACTTATTTTTCTAACAATTGTCTAAAATAATTTTTGAAAAAAACTTTAGTACTGGCATGAAAATTTATCCAGGCTATTTCTAATTATTGTTTGTCATATTAAAAATATTTAAAAATAGTTTTGGAATCCATGAAATAAACTAATATATTAAATTAGAAAAATAGGTACTAAATACTAATAGAAATTTCTCCTTATTTTTGTAATTACGTGTTAGTCAACAAAGTAAATAATTTCTGTGGTACGTAAGAGGAGTTAAATAGCCGCATTAAATTAGAAAATAAAAAAGTAAAACTCTGTCTCAGAAATAAAATAAAGTAAAAATAAAAAAGTAAAAATCTTACTCTTTTGAGAGAGAGAGAGAGAGAGAGAGATATATATATATAATATATATATATAATATATATATATAAGTAAAATGTAAAATTTTGATAAAAAAGTATTATCCACCAATTTATATAAATAAAAATCTTATTAAAAAAAAAAGTAAAAAGTACGATTTTGATAAAAATAATATCCACTAATTTATTTCGCGTCAGTTTCGTATTTTCTTTTACTGCCATGCCTCTAACGTACGTGACAATAGATATAATAAATAACATGCATTAAGTTTTTTTTTTTCTCTTTTGAAAAATATTTGACTCTTTATTGATAAATACCAAATATCTTGGTAATTTATGTCCAACCTACTCAATATTGAGCTATATCTCAAACTAAAAGATTATGAATTCGATCTCTCACTCCCACATGAATTGATATGTAGTCAAGTATTTCTTTTTTTAATCAAATTTAGAAATAAAAAGACCCGACCCACCACTATATCCAAATCAACTAAATGCTACAACTCGAATCCAAGTGAAAGAGTACTTCCTGACAAGTCAGAATTCATTTTCATTAAAAGGATTGAAGAGAGATAGTTTATCAAATTGGAATTTTTTTAGTTGAACACGTGAATATATGAATCTAATTGCTAATCTTTAGTGGTGAATAAATATTTTATCACTTGAGTTATATTTAAGTTGTAGAGATGTAGTGAACCGATCTTTTAAGGGTCAAAGGATCATAATTTTAGTTGACCGAACCTGACTTGGATCGGGTGGTGCGATAAATATGGTAGGACCAGAAACTTACAATTTTATTTTTTATTCTTGAATTTTGAAAACTTTTTTCTTAACTAGTCATATGCATTTTATTTTATTTCATTTCATTATATAGTAAAAGTTTGGTGGACGGTGAGGAAAACATTAAACTAAACAAGAAAACGTTGAATCAAACTCACTTTTATTAAATTAGCTAGCTACATGGACCACGTGTCTTACCTTTGTTCACCATTTTAAAGCAATTTTATTTTTGATAAAATTCACTTCATTTTCTTCTGAGTTAGACAAAAATTCCAAAAATACTTGCCTAAACCACAAAAAAACAACTCGCATCATGACAATAAAAGTAGAAGTATTTTTAAAACTTTGCAGAATTTCCAATTATGGTTGGTGTTTACGAAGGAAAATAAAAAGATTTAGGATTCAAGTTTGGTAAGAAAAATGAGAAGAAAAAGAGAAATTACCTGTTTCTGGTGACAAGTTTGGTTAGAAACTCCCAAAAGCGATGGTTCTTGCAAATGAGTAGGCATACCGTCCTGGATATATGCTCATACCAGCACGCTATCGACGCCCCGCACGCCATCGGCGGCCACACCCGACGCGGAGCGACCTTCTTCATCACGTATTGACTCCCCTCTTCCCCTTTCGGTACCGGATAGTACGGCTGCAATACAACCGTTCTTTAACTTTTAAATTACCACTGAATCTAAAAGTTTTGGAGCAAGAAATTTAACATCTGACTTCAACGACGACGATTGATGCTTCATCCACTAAACTATATTCCAATTGAGTATGGACCAAAGGTTGAGGAAAGTGACACTTTGATGTATCCTCCCTTTTAATTCCGATAGAGTTAAACAAGTTTTAAAAAATGTTTAAAAACTTTTTCCGCTTTCAAGGTAAGTCTAATAATTTTATCCCTTTCAATAATTTTGTATCTAATAAAATTTTAATTAATTAGACATTTTTTTATTTAGAAAAAATTAAAACCACTTATCATCTACTTTCTAAAGTTTATGAACCATTCTATTAGACTCAGTATACCAAATTTATAATTTAACCCGTATTAAATTATAACTAGACTCAACAGCATTTAAAGAGGTAATGGTATATATTTAATATTGTATTTATAACTCTTTCAATTATCACATATTAATTGTGTAATGTTGTCCATTTTCAATTTGACAAATATAAACATTTTGTAATTGTCCCTATATTTCTCAAATTTTAGTGTATGAAATTTTAAAAGCAGCACAATCAAGTTTTCTTTACTAAAAAAAATCAAGTCTTTTATTTCTATTTTCAAATATTTTTTTTTTCAAAACATAAATAAAATCATTATTTTTGACATTAAAAAATAAATAAAACATAAAAATTAAAATATTTAATTTTAAACATTAAATTTCACATAAAAAATTCTTTTTCTTTAATTTAAAATTTTTGAAAACCAAGATTACCAAACATATTTATATATATTTTTTCAATTAAAGAAACAAAAAATAGTTACTAAATTCTATTTTATTTATTAAAACATAAAGAAACAAAAAACAGAATCTCTCTGAGTAACATTCTGGTTCTTTATTTTTTGTTTTCAATTCATTAAGAAAGAAAAATATGATTGCATTTTGTAATTATTTCTTATATTTTATCTTTCTGAAGCTAATTCCAAAATTTTTTACGTAATTTTGACAAAGTTTCTAAAGAAAAAGAAATTTCTAAATACTCAACTTTTAAGTAAAAACAAGAAACAGAAACAGAAACGATGACCCAACAAGAATGAAGACTCACCGGCGCGAGAAGCGTAAGGGACTTGACGGAGGCGGGGTACTTGACGGCGAGAGCGAGAGCCAAAATGCAGCCGAGGGAGTGAGCCACGATGTGAAAGGATTTTACTTTATACGCCTCTAAAACCGACGTCTCGATCATCTCCACGTGTTCTTTCAACGTGTACAGCGAATCCGACGGCTTCGGGCTCCTCCCGAACCCCAGCAGATCCACCGCCAGCAGCCGGTATCTGGCCTTCGCCGCCGCCGACAACTCTGGGAACACCGTCTCCGTCCAAAACTCCGACGACGAAATGAACCCATGAATGAACACTACGTCTTCACGTGCCTCATCTGAAAATACACATCACCATCATACTCCCCTTTAAATCCTTTTTTTCTTTTCGGCAAAAATTCGATTTTTATTTTACCCTCTTTATCCTTATTTTGAGTTTTAATAAAAACTTAATTATAGGAGTTATACTCGAATTGACAGTTTCCGAACAGCGGGTAAGTGGATATTAGGTTGAAAAAAGTTAAATGAAATTGACCGGTCTGGAGATAGTAAATTACCTTTAGGTCCTTGGGCTCGAACGAAGAGCGACTTTTTGGAAGAACACCAACAAGTACAGAGTTTGCAATCGCAATCGGACCACCTGGCGATCGGGTATTGGCGGCCATTGATCTTGTCTTGAAGCATTTCCACAATGGTGGAGTTGACAGTGAAGGTGGATCCGACGGCGGGCTTGGGCGGCGGAGGCAGAAAAGGTTTGACCTTGAGGCGGCGGAGCTCGGCGGCGGTGACTTTAGACAGCTCGGCCACCAGAGAAGGGCGAGTGTAAAGAGTGTCGGAAACTTCCTCAAGCTGCAGCCTAGCAGAGGAACAGAGGCCTTTGTCGGACACCAAAATCTTGTTCCCACGGCTGCTTATGGCCTCCTCTTTAGGGGAAGAACAATAGCAGGGCTTCCACTCCGATTCAAAGCAGAAATCCGCCACTTTGTAAGCAAAACACAACACAATATCAATAACGTCCAGAATAGAGAAGAGGAAGAAGCTGAGGGTTTCGTTTATCAGCCGCCCGACCATCGCCATTGCCATCCCAAAAAAAGAAAAAAACAGGGCCGGGTTACCTAATTTGTGTCATTGGAAAAAGAAATGGTAGAAATCGTATGGGGGTGACGCGAGTTTGAGGTCTTTTGAATGGGAAAGGAGTGTGTGGAGGTGGGGGTGTATTAAAAACTGGAGAGGAGAGAGAGGGAATAGTCACAGAGGAGCAGATAGCAGATGAAATGAATTGATTGTTTCATTTAACGCCATCTGTAGAACAAAGGAAGAAATGGGGTGGGTGGTGGTTGAACTGAATCTCTATTTCTCTCTCTCTTTCTCTTAAGGCAACCAAATTCTCCTCGGCAAATGGGAGTCTTGGCTACAAGTTTTTTCTTTTTCTCCACCACCAAACAAACACACAAAACCCCTCCTCTTTATATAGGGGGGAAATGGTTGTGCTTTTTTTTCTTTTTGGGTTAAAAGATTTTGGTTACATTTGCTGATTTAGTCCCTCTATTATCATCTTATGCTTTTAGCACCATTTGATTGGACTAGTGGGTAACCCAACAAAATTTCATTCTCAATGGGGGTAACCTACTGTTTTTGCACCAATTTTTATCATTTGTTAGTCCTATTGAGATGAATGTTTTAATGTTTATGTTTAAATGAGACTTATTAGATAAAATTGAAATTTGGAACAAGGTTATGTTCATGAAATTGACATCAACATGAGGGGTAAATTAATGTTTTTGTAGAATCTCACAAAAATTGATAAAATATAAAAATAAACGTCAACGTGATATCATTAATATGGCTATGGTGTTAATATTATTAATTTTTTTTAACTTATCTAGAAACTGTGAAATTAAATTCTAATTTGTTAATTTAAATATTTATTACGAAATTTTTGTTTTTATAATTTTTTAAGAAATATCTATTCACATCAACATTTTGTCAAGGAAAATATTAAAAAAAAAGTTGAGATTTCAATTTCAACGTTATTTCCAATTCACATGATAGTAATTGAAACCTTGATTTGGGCATAATTATTTAAGCTTTTTAGAGTCAATTCTCTAACCCCGTATTTGCGACGTTATATTCTTTAAAAAAAAAGAAATGGACCATGTTGAATTTATTGATACGCCCACACTAATTTTATCTCGTTTTGTCACACGGTACATTTAGTTACAAAACGGAAAATTCAAAGATATAATAATTATTCTTTGAAAAAATATATGTAATCAAGATAATTTTTTTTTAAAACCTATGGACCACCAAATTTCAATAACTAAAATTATAATTTAAACCTTAAATAAAAACCCTCAAAATTAAATCGAAGGCAGAGAATAAATCCAAAAGAAAAAAAGAAAAAAAAAAGACATTTTTCTTGGCAACTAGGATTACAGCTCATACAATGTGGTTATAGTCAGAAATTTGAGGCCAAACTCATTAAATATTTTGTTCACCACATTAATCTTAGTAAATGAATAAATATATGAGAAAAAAAAATCCTCTGATATTTAATGCGAGCTGCATAAGCCACATGACCTCTTCACCACCGTCTAACTGGTAAATGTCAAGTTATCTATAAGATCTAAACCAAATTCATGGTCGGTTCTCACTAATTTGTTAACAACTTGTGTATGCTTGAGATTAAGCAATTTTGTAATGGCTCTTCTTTTTTGTGTAGATATATATTAGAAACCCTCTGAGATATAGAGAGTTTCCTAGGTTTTGAAGAAGGTAGGAACCCTTTCATTCATAGATAGTAGGTGAGAAACGTACCACAAGAGGTTATATAAAGACTCTTAAGTTTAGAGAAATGGTTGACATATCATAATTACAAAAGAAAGATCATTTAGACAATGACTATGAGAAGCACAAACTTTTATGTCTTCTCGTAGTTGTGCAAATAATTTGGAAGTACCGTTGAAAGTACGATTTTTTTTTCATTCTAACCGAATGTTCCCTGAGATAGAACAAAAAATATTGCTCCATAGAATATTATTATGTCTGGTGGAGTGGGGAAAGACATACCTTCTTGAATGAAGTCTTCGAGCCCACGAGAGGAGGCTTTTGAAAGTTTTGACAAAAAGATTTGTCAAATCGATATTGTGAACCCACAAGGTAGACATAAGTGATCAAAAGATTTCGAATTCAGATGGCATAAGATGCACCAACGGAAACAAATGCAAGTGATTTTCCAACGAAATTGATCAATATAACGTGTATCAACTATTATCAAAGGTTATAGGCTTGGAAAGATACCTAATAGAACTTTGATTTTTTTTTCGAGGGTAACAAAGAACATAATAAAGATATGAAAATATATATGTGAGAAACATAAAGAGAAAAGGGAGGCGTTCACTCTAATTTAAACAATAGTTGATATATATTAAATGTAGGCAAAACCGATCCCATTGAAGAATTTTTCCGAAGATTCATTGGAATAAAACAAAATTTTAGATTTTATCTTTGAGAAAAGCTTTTGTTGTTGTTCAAGTTCGTTCGAGATGAACAAATGACGTGTCACCTCTTATGTGCTACTCTGCCAATTGGTTTTGAGATGAAACTCCATGAATATTAATATGGTATCAGAGCCCAAACACTCAAACGAGCATAAGATCCGATCAAGATTAGTGAGACGAGAAAAGGATTAAGGAACCTAACAAAGTTCATGAACTACTTCTTTTATTGCTAATTGGTTTTAAACTCAAACAAACATGTGGAACAAAAATTGACTTCGCAAAGATGGGTGAGCCCAAAGATATTCATGGAAATTATCATGAAATTTATAAAATATATAAAAATTAATAAACCCAACATTTCACCCTTTAAAAAAGTTAAAAATTCTTATTATTAAAATTATGTCCACATTACTTCTATTTCAGTAATATTTTTTTATATCTAATTGATTTTTATAAAAATGTCGATTAATCCATTGTGTTAATGTTGAACCTATCAACATATAAAAATGTTGATAGGAAGATGCAACTTTAAAATTAAAACACTTAGCAGGGTAGGGAGCTCCGAGAGCATATTTCGCCTGCTAGAGGTGTAGAATTAGCAACTGGAGGAGCAAATTGCACAGCTGCAGCAATTGTTGGGCCAAGGGCCCCCAGCTGCAGTGTTCCGGCCAAAAGCTGAGCCGCATTTCTGTCAAATTAACGTCAAGGTTGGTAGAAGAAACAATGCCCTGAATGATGCCATTCAGCAGAAGACTTTGCTTGCAACGAGGGCTTTCAGTTTCTCATCCTTTTCCTCCGTTGTTTTAGTGGCGATGTTTGACCTTCATTTCTTCCCTAATCTTCCCTAATTACCTTCATTTTTTTTTATCTTTTTGTCATGACTTTCTTATTCTTTTATTTTGAACTATTAAAAAGGCTTGACTGCCTTGATTGGATGAGACCTGATTTTATCTTTGAGCATTTGTGACTCTTGTACAAGCGTTTTCCCTTCAACCTTATCCGAACGATCGCCACTATCATGACTTCGTTATTTGCCATGTAGCAGGCTGAGGTTTAACCACCCCTTCTTGTATGCGGCAATTGAATGTTGTCCCATCATTTGACATAATTTGTGAGTCAGGTAGATTTTTCGTCACTCAAGCGTCGTGCACCTTTTCGAGGCGCGTCTCCTTGCTCCCATATCAGGTTAAAGGTGCGTTTGTTCTCCTTGTTGGCTTCTCGTCGCTTGCCTTATGTTTAAAAAGGGTCGGCAAGCCATCTTGGTTTTCCTTGCAAGCCCTTCCTAGTTTTCATCAAGATGTCCAAGTGCTGCCTGTTGGGATTATGGACTCAAAAGAGAAAATCTATATCCTATAAAGAAAAGAATTTTTCAACACTATTATCAATTCCTACCGGGAGTAGAATATTGTTGTCTTATAAGGATTACAATATTGTTTTCCTATAAGAATTAGGATATTTGGCCTCTTATAAATAGAGCTTTTATGTTAAGGTTTCATTTGTACAGAATCCAAATAAAAGAGACTTGAGTGGTTGTGGGCAGTGTTGAAAAGGATTCTGTATCCAGTGGATTTAGTGAGTGTTTTTCATTCATGTACCTAAGTATAGTGTGTTATAATACTTAGAAGTTAGAGGGTTTTTGTTGGGACCTCTAGGGGATATTTTTAGGGAGAGTTTTATATTTCAATCCTTAAACAATTATTAGTAAATTACCCACATCTGAGTGGAAGACTCGACGTAGCCCTTAGTGGTGAACCAGTATAATTTGCTGTGTTGTTATTTTTGTGCTTTTACAGTTTTCTTCATATTTTCATATATTTTGGTTGTATTTGGATATTTCTGTGGAAGGGGAAATTATTCAAGGTCTTCAATTCCCCAACAAGATTGTTGGATTTGTAAGGTGATTGCAAACAAAGTCTCACATTGGCTAGGGAAGGGAATGATCATGGGTATATAAGACAGGACAATTATCTCCATTGGTACGAGACCTTTTGGGTGAAACAAAAAATAAAGCATCATACCATTGTGGAGATACTCGGATACGAACATAGTCGTTTACACATTTTGTAGGCCTATGATGCCCTCCTTTTGTACTTCTTCCTCATAAATGAAATTTGTGATTATGCTAATCTTTTTTTGTCTCGACTTGCTGTAATTTATTATGCTGCATTTCTGGGTAGAAGTTAGTATGATCATTTTTTAACTTTGTCATCACCGTTTGCATAGATAATTTTCTCGAATGGGGTCGAGCTCCTTTTTGTTGAAGGCTTACTTCTCAGTTTTGACTTTCAGAATGTCTTTCGAGTCTATCAGGCAGTGGTGAATTCGTTTGAGGGATCGTCCGTCGACTCTAGGCTTAGGTATATGGTTATTGGTATTTTAGGGACAAGTAGAACTCTTTCAGCGAGGGGCCTTCCTCTAGGGCATTATCCTTGGGGTTACATCATCTTAGTAAAGTTTTGACTTGGGGCCTTGGGGTTCTTGACGAACATGGCCGCAATCAATTTTTCTCGCATAGGTGTCATGAAGGTGCCATGTACGCCTTCGTCCCCAGGCTTTGGGTTACCGGCAAATAGAAATCTAGCACTAGTATAATGCTTTGTCGAATGCACTCTGATGTTGGACCTCAAGTTGAAACAGATATGAAACAAGTAGAGTAGAAAGGCAGTAATCTTGTGGGCGAAAGTCTACTTGAAAGTGTATGCAGAATTCTCACAAGGAGTTGTGTAAATAAAATCCGCTTACCTTCATTAGAGTTGCTCTTCTTCTTATATATTGAGAGAGATGTTGATAGAGTGTGTATCAGAGAGAGAGAGAACGGCATGCCGCATTAGGGGTTGTTGGGACAACCATGCTCCTAGCCTCTGTGTTTTGTAGAAGGGGGCACGGCGGCGTCCTGTGGGACTCTCTCGAGCGTATCACGATTTGGACGTAAGGTATCAGTATCCTGCTTACTAGCTATTCCTCATTTTTCCAAGTGCAATCAGTCTCTCGACCAATGTGCTCGATCTTCGTGTAGTTTTTGTTGACTGGTCCACACGACTTTACTAGATCTTAGACGCGTATCACCTTTGATTTATCCAATAACGCACCAACCATTTCTCAACTTTTAAAATTAAATAATTCTTATAAGACAACTATCAATGCTCGAAAACTTTGAAAATTTTCAATTAGCAGCACCCAATAAACTTTCTAATCATAATATTTACATCTATTGCCAATCAAAATTTGTCTTCCACTTGATGAAATTTTTGGTGACAATGGAATCTTCCCTATTTGTCTGTAGTTCCTATTTGATCATTACCACAACCAAAATCCACCACGTTGGTGGTTGTTTGTGCCTCCAGCCATTGACACACGTGAGTGAATACAGAAGTTTTTTGTCTTCTCAAGTGACCCCATTTTAATTTGAGGACTTGGTTTCATGATTATGCATGGGCACTTTAAATCCAAGATCAGTCATCTTCATCTCTATAAAAGGTGTCATATTTGGTGGACGTGATGATATGATGTCTTTTGGATCCATGTTTAAAATATCTATACAACTCTGAAAATGAAATAGTGGCACTCGTGGGTAAAAGATGTCTATGATGTGAGGATATCAGCTTTATTCGCATGTGATAATATATAACCATTTTTTGTTCTGATTTTCTTAGCTATTTTACAACTCCTCGAATATATATTTTTTTCGTCACTAATCCGTCATGAATATTATTCTGTATGTTCTTATTTAATATAAACGCCTTTTAAATTCGTTGACATATTTGGAGATATTGTGTATACTATAGTATAGACCAAGATTAGATTAGACCACGTTCATATGAGACTTTGGTCTAAAATCAAATTTTTTTAATAGTATAGTCCATGAGTATCTGCATAACAAACAATTAAAGATTAGGTTAGATTACAAATTTAGTTGATAAATTTTTAAATTTGTGTCTGATAAATCTCTAAAACTTAAGCCAATATGAGTTTAATTAATAAGAAACATAAAAACTTCAGCCAATATGAGTTTAATTAATAATTAACATATGTTTCTGATCAAGAGCTCATGAATTCAAATTCTTTATTGTACTAAAAAAAAATTTTTAAATTTCAATTTTATGTTTAATAGATTCTTGAACTTAAGTATATATAATAAGTCTATCATGAACAAATTTGTTAAAAAAAATTAGCAGATCTATTAAACATAAAATTTAATTTTGTGTCTACTAGGTTTGTGAATATTAAAAAAAAAAAGTCAAATAGGTCTAGGACCAATTATACATAAATTCTAAAGTACTTTAGAGACCGTTTAGATATAACATTAAAAGCGTTTAATGACCTATCACATTTTTAAAATTTTATAAATTTATTAGACATAAAATTGAAAGTTTGGTGACTTATTAGATATTTTAAAGGTTCAGAATTTTAGTGGACACAAATTCAAACTCACAACCTAGTTGAAGTTTATGTCAATTATCGCAGAGCTATGCTCGCTTTGATAACTTTTTAATTTAACTTAAAAATTGTGATATGAGAATAAAAATAAGATCACAGTCAAACATTGTAGGTAAATTAACACAACACAATATGCTACGAGATCGACGTAAACATAGTTCAACTGCATTAAGAACGGTAGGCGTAGAGTTGACGAATGTTGATAGGAGAGCTAATGGTTTCATCTCCATCAAGGAGCTCTTTGGCAATGATGATATTAGCAGCTTCTGTTGGGTGATAAGCATCCCAAAACACATATTTCGATCGATCATCACAAAGAGAAGAGCTTCTATTTTGGTTTTGGCCCTTGTAGCAAACGAAAGGAGGGAAGTATCCACCACAACATGGTTGCTTTGCATCCACGAACCCTAACATATTGCTCAAAAATCAAAGTTATAAAAGATTTTGTGAAGAAATGTGTATATATATGGTGCATTTGATTATGCTTAAATGGCGTTTTTTATAATTATAAATTTTAGTTTGAATAGTTTGAGCTAGATTTCGACTTGGGTCTCTGTGATTTTAAAATTTTCATTGCGGTACCTATACTTTGGTTAAACCATTGTCTAAAAAATCCTATATTAACATTTCTCTTATTTTATATCTTTTTTGGACGTGGTTGATATCAATATTCATGGGTTCAATCTCAAAACCAATTGGTAAATGAGAGGGGTAGGTCATGTCTATTATAAAATCCCTTCTTTTATCAATGTGAGATCCTTAACATGACCCTTTAAGATCGTGACTCTTTTGGCTCATCGATCTTAGTCGGGATCCCATTTTTGGACCGGATACTCATTTGAGCTTTTTGGGCTCTGATACCATATCAATATTCATAGGTTCCATTACAAAACTAATTGGCCATAAAAGGAGTAGCTGCATTATAAACCTTTGTTAGGTCACTTATTGGGATCTTTAACAGTTGAGAGAGAAATTAAGGGACGAGTTTTGAGAAGTATTGTTTTTGAAGATGTGTGCAGCAAAACATATGGCTCCTTAGATACTATTTTTCTTTACCAAAAAACACAATTTAGGTGTGTTTGGTATACGTTACTGTTTTTTATTTTTCAAAGGAAAAATATAACTATAATAACTATTTCTTATTTCTTTTTATTTTGGTAACCTTTTTTTTTATTTTTTGTTTTCTAAAATTTTAAATTAGAAAACTGATGAAAATTAATATTAAAAAACTTTATTTTACATTTTATAAGTCAAAGTGTTAAAATAATGTTTTTATTTATGTTTTGGGAAAATTTTAAAATGAGAAGAAGAAACCATTAATTTGATTTTGTTGTTTTCGAGAATTTCTACATAATTTTGGAAACATTTGTTAAAAATGAGGAAAAAAATAGCTACTAAAGACTTATATTTCTAAAAACTTGGAAAAGAGAAACAAGAAATATGAGATGAAAACATTACTAAACCAACCAGCTCGTATTTTATATCCGATTCAAAATCTAATATAATTAACCTAAAATAATAAATCAATTTAAATTTTACAAATACCTTATACTAAAGGTCAACTTATTCACCTTTATCCTACCACCTCCAAAAGAAATGTGGCAGGTTAGAAAAAAAGCCAAGACATTTTAGAAGATTTAACACAACCATATAGTATAAATTTTAAAAATATCCTAGCGACAAAAATGGGTAATTTAAAATTTTTCTTAGTTTAGGAAAAACCCTCTAATATTTTAACCCAAAATGGAAAGAAAAGCCATGTGAAATATGGGGTTTGAGAAATCTAACCATATTGTTGATAATTATCAATAATCTGCATGAAGACAGCATAGGAATTGGCATAAACGAACATGGTTTTGGGGTTGAACTCTTGATTCAATTGGTCAACCACTTCACTCAGCCTAAAATTGTAGGCTTCAATCAGCTGATTCACTTCTTCTGAGCATTCATCATTTGGTGCAAATTGCAGTGTCCTGACAAATGGAATACATCCAAGTGGTCCAACTCCGACCACTACAACCTTTCTTGCCCCAACACCGTGGAGTCGCTTCATCAACAAAAGCATCCACAAGTCAATCTCAAAGGGTCCGTCGAGTAATGTTCTTGTTTTTTTTTCCTGTGTCTTTATTTTTAAAATGTTACCAAACTAAAAAACGACATAAATCACTATTAATATTACCAAACGTAAATATAAAATTGTTTATGTTTATGTTTCTTGTTTGTCTATTCATTTTTCATTTTTCTTGTTTTAACGTAAATGTTATCAAAGGGACTCAAAACTAATGAATAGGACAAACTGATATAAAATCGTGAGTCATACACCCTATTTAAAGTTGACCCACTATGTGGTTTGGACAAAAACTAAAAGTAGGGAACATGGGTTGAAATAAGTGCTTGTTTCAAAATTTTCTTTGCCCAAAATCATGCCAAGCTCTTTGAGTCCTACCAAAAAGCAATATTGTCCAACAATTGACACTAAACTCTCATGTGTCCTTGCATTCTTCTTTTTAATTACATATATATGGTGGGCAACCTTTTGGCCTAGGGCTTTCGTGGTGGAGGCAATTGGCCAAAACACGTTTTTAATAGCAACTCTTCAAAAAGGTAAATATATATGAATCGACTGTTTCTTTTTCCTCCAACTGCTCTTTATTATTTCTTGGATTAATTTTAAAATTTGTTTCCAAAATCCAAGTCTAAGTTTTGAAAACTGAAAAAAACATAGTAGTTTTTGTTTTCAAGACTATAAATTCATGTGTTGTGTTTTTTTTAAATGGTGAGAAACATACTAAAATGATAATTTGCTTCTTTCTAGCTATATTAATAAACAATGCAAGAATAAACTTGATGAAGTATATGAATGTTAAGACATTTTATATCGTTTTACCTTGAGCTGTATTGTTATGTTGGAGATCATATGATCCAAGTAATCACTTGGGGAAGCCTTGTTTGTTTGGAAAATTGGAATGGAGGGTTGGATGTAGTTGATTATATCATTGGATCCAACTGTTAAAGAGAAAATTGCATTCTTCAAAACCTCCATTGTTTCATTCTCTCCCTTTACCTTCACCATGTACCTTCTACTCTCCTCAAAATTCTTCACTTGCTCCCTTAGTGGAATCCTTCCCAACTGTGTTCCACATAAACAATTTATTCAAAAGCTTGTATTTTTCTACAAATTATTAGTAATTTTTACATTGACATTAGGAAAAAAAAAACATCTTCAGTATACATTTTTGCTCGTTGAATTTCATGCCAATATTCGAGTCCATGTGTGTCGAGAGTATTGAGAATATATTGAAAATGTTGAATTTAGGTTAAATTACTATTTTAGTCCCGACCCTATTGTTTTAAAAGCTTGAATTTGACCATTATACATGATCTTGTTAAATCTCCTAAAACATCGCCTTATTGAGTACCTCTTAAAAGTTCATGGTTTTTTGATCTGATATATAAAATGTGCGACATAACAACTATCATCTAGTACCGAAATGATGAGGTTTAGAGAGATTTAAACCATTTAAAATCATTAAGGCCCTGATTAAAAGCAAAACATAAGTCATATAAACTAAAATGGTAATTAATTTGTTCTAAATCTAGTACAATGTGGCTCGTGATTTATCTTTTATGTATGTTTTTTGGAGGAAATGTTTTAATTTATAATATTTAATTTTAAGAACATATATAGTAATGTAAAAGTGGACTTACAAATAACAAACCAGTTTCATCCAAGATGCCAGAAGCTCCAGAAGCATAGTTTATTCCTCTATACATTGTGTCTACTTCTGTATTTGGAGCCAAAAATGGTGGAGGAAATGACTTGGCACCAAGATATTCATCTGATTCAAATACTTTATAAATACTTTAATCTATAATATAAAGTTGCTTTGATATATATATATCAATTCGACATATATATGGCATGCTATTTAAAGAACATTGGCAACATTGGTAAGAAAAACAATTTATAGTTTCTT